TAGGGTTTAGGGTTTTCCTATAGTCTCCATTGTAGTTCCCTCTTGGGGTTACCTTTTGGGATCCTTAGTATATAATTGGTTAAACCAAAAAAGGAACTCCAATGGAGACTATACGTAGGGTTTTCCGACTTCGAAATGGGACTAGGGTCCTTGTTTTAGGGTCCCTTTTTAGAAGGGTTTAGGGTTTAGGGTTTAGGAATGGGTAGTTCTCTAAATTAGGCTCCCTCTTTAGGGCTCCTTAAAGGGATCTATAAGGGTTTCTAGAGGGGTTTCTGTAAGGGTTCTAGAAGGTTTCTGTCGGGGTAGGTCTCTACATTAGGGTCCTTTTTTTTATAAGGGTGCCGTACTATATGGGAGTTTCCGAAAATGAGGGGTGCCTTATTTTGGGGTCCTTATAATAAGGATCCTACTATTTAGGGTACTATCTTAGGGTCCCCTTTTTTCGGAAACCCCCATATTTTGGGGCCCTGAAAGGGACTTCGATTTAGAGAACTAGCGAGATTGAGGCTTGTAATCGTAGCCGTTACTATCGAACACTGACGGTAGGAATGTAGCAACAACAAGCACGAATCATAGCAATGCTTATGAAACATGTTCAAGGAAGACCAAGATGACGAGATGCTGAAGGACGAAGTTTGCGCAGACTCGCTTGGTCTCTCGCATGGATTTCTCAAGGAATCCCAGGCATACCATGTGGCTAGTTCTCCAAATTAGGGTCCCCTTTAGGGTCCTGTTCATAGGGTGCAGCGCTAGACCCTCGACCCTAGACCCTAAACCCTAAACCCTAAACCCCGAAACCCGAAACCCTAAGCCCAAGACAGAAAAATGGACCCTAACCTGGAGACTGCCCATGTGAGTGCCATGACTCCTGGATGTGGGGGCCCCAGTGCTTGTCAAGAGGGAATAGGGCTTTGGGGTTTCTTATACGATAACTAATACTGTTTTGGGGATTCCCTATTACTATTGCTTTTATTACTGTTGCTATTATTATTATTGTTATTATAGTCATTGTAATTATATTGCGGAACCTCCAGAGTAGTATTGGCCTTGCGTGCGTTTGCAATCATTGGCATCTGCTTTAAAGTCAATGCCCTGCAGCATTTCGCGGCCTCAAGCAACAGTGTCTGCCATTCGGCAGCTTTGATATTCGAGCGACTTGGCTGAGGGGAAATTGTGTGAATGCTTGGAGTGAGTAGCAAGCAACTGTTTACGGAGTTCATAGCTCTGTGACACGAGGCAATGACGTGCGCAACCGTCGCCAAGCTTTCCTTCGTTTCCACAAGCTTCACCATGCCACTGATTTGCAAGTAGTAAAGGCTGCGCAGTACGTCTGGGAGACTCTTGTGGCAGCTTTTGCTCATGTCTCGTAGAATCCCTAAACCCTCAACCTTTGGCCGGCAAGAGCCTGACCATTACCATGCGACCAGGCTTGCCTTCCTTCCACGCTCAGCCATTGCTTGGGGTGTGGCTTGACTTGGTCTAAGGTCTAGAGTTTAGGGTTTAGGAGTTTAGGGTTTAGGATTTCAGCTCCACATCTCGATGTACCTTGGATGTGGCTTTCTGACACTGGGAGGTGTGGCACGCGTGGCTGGTTTGGCGATGGTGGTGAGGCTAAACCGAAGCAAAATATCTGATGGATCAGAGCGCATGTGTCTTTGCCGCACGTCCACCTGACATTTCTGATGCTCCTATGCTCCTTATTCTTAGTTTGCCCACTCGTATTCTGTTACTATGGGGTAGCATCGCTAGTAATCGCTAGTAATACGAATATTATTCAAATCCGGTTTTATTGTTGAAATTCTTCTTCTTGTTTGATAATTAGGAATATTGTTATTTGTATTATTCTGATTTCTATTTGCATTGTCATAGTTGTTGTTATTCTCATCATTATTATTCTTCGCATTGTGCTTACTATTTAAATATTGTTGTTTGTCTTCTTCGTATTCTTCTTATTCTTGTTAAGCATATTACCAGTACTCCTATTCTTGTGATTAGAATTCTCAGTATCATGGTTGTAATTTTGTTATTATTGCTGTTCTTCTTCGTGAACCTTGGAACCCTAAACCCTAAACCCTAAACCCTAAACCTTAAACCCTAAACCCTAAAACCCTAAAGCCCTAAAACCCTAAAACTCTAAAACCCTAAACCCTAAACCCTACTGTCCGGACGACGAGGTCGCCTGAAGCAAGAAAGGCAGGAAGCAGTGGCTCCCACATGCCAGGCAGCTCGGGACCGCTCCTGAAGGGATGCTTTTTAAAAAGAGATCCCTGAAGAGTAGCACAGGGTACGCTTCGGAAGGGGTTCGCGTTTCGACCCGCAACCCTTATCTTCTCTAAACCCCAAACCCCAAACCCTAAGCCCTAAACCTAAACCCTAAACCTATAACTTAAAGATCTAAACCCCTAAGCCCTAAAACTCTAAGTGCTAAGCCCTAAACCTCTACACCCCAAAGCCCTAAAGCCCTAAGCCCTGTAATCCAATGTCCTCAGCCGTAGACCCTAAACCTCTACACCCTAAAGCCCTGAAGCCCTAACATCCAAAGTCCTCAGAACCCTCCACCCTGAACCCTAAACCCTAAACCCTAAACCCTAAACCCTAAACCCTAAACCCTAAACCCTAAACCCTAAACCTTAAGCTGCTAGGAGCATCGCAGCCTGGGAGCAGCCCTCTTCTTGACAGCAACCTCGCTTGAAGAGCGTCGAGGCATGAAGAAAGCTTCTACATAATATAGTTGAGAGAGGGATTTAGGGGTTAGGGTTTGAGAGAAGGTGTACATATAGTTGAGAGAGGGGTTTAGGGTTTGAGAGAAGGTTACCTACCCTAAACCCAGACCCTGAACTCTGAACTCTAAGCCGTAAGCCCTAAACCTTTGCTACAAGAGGAGCCCAAACGGGCTCCCTTAAGGGGCTGCTCCTACGGGATAAGAAAGGGGCCTTAAGAATTACTGTAGAATAGGTTTTTGTGGTATATTATATTAT